CTTCCATCTCGATAATGCATCTCGAGAGGTGGACAACACTATTTCCTCTTAGAATCTTACATCTTATAGTAAATGTTCTCTGTAGTGGAAATATTATATTACTACTGATTTCTGCATCATGGGCTTATGAGTAAAGAAAGTGGAAAAAAAATGTGAAAATCAGGATCAGACCAGGGGAGCTGGGTGAATGCCAAAATTCTTTCCATTTCCCTGTGCATTTGCTAATCTGGGGTTCAATCGAGTTGACAAATATCTTTACCTGCTCTCCCCTCATTTCTTCTCTGGATGGGATTTCAGTACTTGGCTAAGGAGAGAGGGCACAACAGATAGGACAGTGGCTCAGGAAAGAAGATAGCATGGTATCAATAGTAAACTACTGCTGTCTGGAAGCATCTGCCTTGTGCAGTAGTGGTGTGGGGGAGAAAGCATCACCCTTTCCATGTTGGGCTCTGCTCTTGCAATCTGTCCCTTGGGTGGGCCTTGTAATTCTCACTAGCATTCATGTGTGTGGTTAATTAGGTGAATTTTTGTGGACTAGCAGGAAATCCAAGCTATAACTTGACATTTTTGTGGCAAGTTATGTTTGAAGCAACCAATTTGCTAATCACCTTTGGAATTTAAGCCCTGCCTAAGATACAGTTCAACAAAGAATTAGGAGGGCATGTTAGGGCTGAGTCCAAGCACTCAGCTTTAGCAGTGGCATCCATGGCTCATGAGGTCCTCTGTTTCCCCAGGATATCAATGTACCTGTCTCTCACAGTTTACGGGGAGAAACTGTGAATCTGAGATTACAGCCTGCTTTCCAAACCCCTGCCGGAATGGAGGATCCTGCGATCCAATAGGAAACACTTTCATCTGCAATTGTAAAGCTGGGCTCACTGGAGTTACGTAAGTGAGACTATATTAGTGTCTTTCTCTACATCGTTCTTTATTGCTACAACAAACCAGTAAGCAACTAATGGGGATAAAATATTTACCATTAATAGTATAGGCAAAGATTTAACATCTGCACAATATATATAAGGACTGCTTACAGGTGACTAAAATGTTAACAGGAACAATCTCTGCGTAGTGAGGTCTAGTTTATCAGTAAACTACTCCTGTCTGGAAGCATCTGTCTTGTACAGTAGTAGTGGGGCAGGGGGGTAGCATCATTTTCCCCATCTTAGGCTCTGCTTTTGAAAGCTGTCCTATTTACAATAAATTTACATGTTTTATGTTTCCCTGTATCTTTAAAATTGTGTATGATTGCTATGTAGTCCGTAACTAGGGAAAAAAGAAAGTCATTTAGGCCACCTAATATAATTCTGAGGCAGACACAGTACCCATTTCCCCAAAATCCATTAACTGGAGTCTACAGCCTACTGTTTTTTGGTCATTCTGAGCAATTGAAACTGACCTTTCCTTTGCAAACCTTTCTTTCCCTAAGAAATAAGCAAAATTAACTGTTTACTGAAATGAAAGGGATGGTTTAAAATTCCCAGTAAAATGCCACTTTCAGCCTTCCTTGATCATTTTAGAAGCATATATATGTAATCTCAAGCAAGTGATATTGTAATTACAGATCAGTCTTACGTATTCATTAGTGCAAATCTCCCGAGGACTTTACCAGGAAATACTTAGCTGACTTTGAATCGTTGGATGTGATTTAAAGTAATAAAGCAGCATTTATTTTTAAATACTCTGATTCTGACTAATTTCCGACTGACTTCATCTCTATCTGTTCAAATTAGGGACATTTGGCTACATTTTAAAAAGGTAGATTACCAAAAATATAGGTGATTGAACCTTTTAAATGAACATATCAGAACAATTGCTGCAATAGAGAAGTTAAAAAGAAGGTCTATGTTCTCAAATAATACCAAGCTAAGAAAGTAAATATTAAGCTAAAAAGGAGTAAGACTGATACACTTGCCTTATAATTATACTCTAAGTGAGCCATGGATTGCTTTAAAGAGAATAAAATTGATTTAATTATTTTTCATCAGAATGCTTTAGTCATTATTCCTGAAAATCTCCATTAGTATTAGCCTTTAACATAAGCACAGAATGCTGAAGACATGTAGCCCTCCACCCACTCAACCTTTACAGCCCCCAGCTTTCTAGAGGGACCAAAAATTACTGTAGCCATTAGAGGCAAATGTCAGAACCAAAGACTCCTCTGGGGAAAACCCTTAACTGATAGATTCATAGCTCTTTGTCTGTAATTCTACAATCCCAAAAGCTCTGAGAACTTAAACGGTTTGGGGTATGTTAGCAGCAAACTAATTTGGTGGCAAAACCTGTTCAAAACTGTTCCGAGGCTCTTTCCATTCTTTATTTCTCTTATTTAGTGTGAATATCCATATGTTTCACTGCCGAAACACTGGTATATTTTATTATGGGATGCTACAGCCAACACCACTTTCTGCCAGTGGCAAGAAGTATTTTACATAATGTAGTAGTAATGTGCTGTATGTCCTTGCTAAAACTGCACAATTTTGAATTCTGAGATGCATCTGCTCCCAAGGGTTTGGAGACCAGTACCTTTTTGATAGCATCTGTTGTTCTTTCTCCCTCTCTCCTCTCCCACCTCAGTCTCTTTCTCCCAACCCAGGTAGGACGTGGGACAGATTGGGTTGAGAGGATCACCTTAAGGCAAAGGGATGACTTGGGGACCACAGTGGCCACCGTGATGCCTAAATTAGTTCCTCCTCCCCTCACCAACCATCTTTGTCCCACTTCATCTGTACCCTTGAGGTGTATCATTTTCTTTTAAAGATGTCCATGTTTTCCCAAGCTCCAGTATACCAGCGTGTGTGCACAGGTCCTGACAGTGGGGAGGGCATTCTGTGTCGCCACAGGTGTGAGGAGGACATCAACGAGTGCGAGCGAGAGGAGTGTGAGAATGGCGGCTCCTGTGTGAACGTGTTCGGCTCCTTCCTCTGCAACTGCACGCCGGGCTACGTGGGCCAGTACTGCGGGCTGCGCCCCGTTGTGGTGCCCAATATCCAGGCCGGCCACTCCTACGTGGGGAAGGAGGAACTCATCGGCATCGCCGTGGTGCTCTTCGTCATCTTCATCCTGGTGGTCCTCTTCATCGTCTTCCGTAAGAAGGTCTTCCGCAAGAACTACTCCCGCAACAACATCACGCTAGTGCAGGACCCGGCCACGGCCGCCCTGCTCAACAAGAGCAACGGCATCCCGTTCCGGAATTTGCGCGGCGGCGGGGACGGCCGCAATGTCTACCAGGAGGTGGGGCCCCCGCAGGTCCCCGTGCGCCCCATGGCCTATACACCCTGCTTCCAGAGCGACTCCAGGAGCAACCTGGATAAGATCGTGGACGGGCTGGGGGGCGAGCACCAGGAGATGACCACGTTTCACCCCGAGTCGCCCCGTATCCTGACAGCCCGGCGGGGCGTGGTCGTGTGCAGCGTGGCCCCCAACCTCCCGGCGGTGTCCCCCTGCCGCTCCGACTGTGACTCCATCCGGAAGAATGGCTGGGACACAGGAACTGAGAGTGAGTAGGAAGTAGTCGTGCTCACCCCTCTGCGCTTACAGGGAACCTGCGGGGGCGCTGTGTGGGGACGCTAAGCGAAGGGAGAGAGACCCGGCGTGCAGAGCATTCGCTATGACACGTGCTGGTGTGGAATGTTCACACCGGGCCTGGAAAACGGTCCCGTTTCTGATTCCATTTACACATGGGAGAAATGAAGTTCAGCGAGGGTAACATCATGCGCCCAGGGTCAGGCAGCTAGTAAGAGGCAGTCAGGACCCCAACCCAAGTCGTCCAGATTCCAAAATCCATCCTCTCACAATAGTGGGCCAGCCACGTCAGTGACGTACAGGAGTGTGCTGTGGAAGGTTGGAAGAATAATGTAGTTCCAGTCTTAGAATGAAGATTCGAGAGGGGCAGAGGGGCACTTCAATTGGACCATGATGAGTTAGAGTCTGGGGAAAGGAGGGCATTCCATTGTAGGAGGGACCCATGTGATCAGCAGAAAAGCAAGTCGTTTCTTCTTGGCTGGAATGTACAGACCATGAAACAAGAAGGGGAGCCGCAAGGCAGGAAAGGTGGTCGGGGCCAGAGATGGTGGTGTTTCCCTCTTCATTTGGCCTCACAGCAGCATTCTAGGCACAGGGAAGAGCCACAGGTGCAAAACTCTTGGGGTGGGAAAGGGCTTGGTGCCTACAAGAACATAGAGGAGGTCAGTGCAGTTGGAGCTTGCTGAGCACCAGAGAACTGCTAACATCCTAACAGCAACACTACTGCAGGTTTTTAAGTAAGTGACTGCCATGATCTAATGTACCTTTTAAAGCTGACTCTAGTTGATCCTAAGAGAAGAAACCAAACAGGCTTTCTTCCCAAAAAGGGAAAAAAGCAGAGAGCCAGTTAGGTAACTTCTGAACATCTAGGTGAGAGATTGTTTTCCCTGCTATAGTGTCCATTACAAGGAGACTAAAGGAAGCTCTGCTGTAGCTTGTGACTTCAGGACAAATGGCTTTATATAGGAAGGTTTCAGGTGGAGCTGACCACGGGCAGCCAGGGAGATAAAGGTTTTCTTCATGAAGGAAGGGGGCATTCCTACTGATAGTATTAAGCATGAATAAGATTTCAGTAGGACACTTTAGAGATGACCTTCCAGAAACAGGAAGCAGCTCAGTGTAGAGGACACACAAAGAGTTACCGGAAGGACGGATTTAGGTAAGAGGTCAAGGTTAGAAGTGAAAGTTTGAACATCATCTGCATTTAGGATGGTGGACTCTGTAGGAGCGTGAACTCAATAAGAGAGCAAGAACAGAGAGGATGGTCAAACCAGGCCTGCAGAAGAACCCTGGAGACACCCACATGTGGGCTTTGGGCAGAAGGGGAGGAAGCAGGCAAGGAGACAAACACTTGGCAACAAAGAGGAGGGAAAAGGAGAGGCCCCTGTCCAGAAGCCAAGAGAATGTCATAAGATCATCAGTATTGACTACTGTAAAACTGTGAAGGACACAGGCTCAAATAGATGTATACTGACCTTGATGACAAGAGGAATCTTAGCATCTCAAGAACTTCTCAGTAGAGCCATCTAGACAGAAGCCAGAATGCAAGGGTTCAAAACCAAGAGGTTCGGTGAGAAAGCCAGGGCAGCAGGTGAATGTGAAACACACTGCTCTATGTTACATCATCTCCTTAAACCATCACATTGCCCCCATGTTGATGCCATTGCCAGCCCATCATTCCGTGTAGGAAAAAACTCCCTTCAATGGGTGAAATACTCACCCAAGTGCACGTAACTAGAAAAAGGAGACGCCAGCATTAAAACCTATGCTCTTACCAGCACTGTTCTTGGGAGCTTTGGCAGGAAGGAAGAAGAGTATTTCTTGGTGATAGTGGAGGGCCAAGGATGAATTCTTTCTATTCTAGTGCTACCCCAGTATGCTATCTGCTGATTCTGTCGACACATGTATTTTAAGCAGTTGCCCTTGAATTTCTGCCATAAATATATTCCCTGTCAAATTATCTGTTGAGTTAGACTTTACTATAGTCTTGCCAATCCACTAGCTAATAGGCTTTTTATTTAGCAATAAAAAGGGGGATGGTGAACAAATACAGGAGTGGAGAAAGGAGTTTTATGCACGGCACTTCATTCACTAGAGTGGATTATTTGTCATTTCCTTCCTTGTGTTCAGGGCTAAGCTTGTGCACACCTTCTGCTTGTCTGAAGCGCATTGTCACATTTTCTGCAATGTGGCTGTTAGGACATGAATTTCTCCCTTGGAATCTCTCTCCACTTACATTTGTTGTTTATCCAACTCTGGTGCTTTGCTGTGGCCGCAGCCTCTGACAGCAGTTGCAGAGCTACCGTGCCTGTTGCTGACATCATCTTTTGTGGAAGAAACGTGATTTCTGTGGCCACAAAGAGGAACAAATGTTCCCTTAATCACAAGTCTGCATCTCTTTGTACCATTGCATTACATGATGATTTGCAGCCCTCCCCACTTCCTGATGTGACAGTTTCCAGAATTTACCTCAGGCTGAAACTCACATTTTCCCCCAAAGTATTGTTGGGTTGTATTGAATACATTTCCTTCTTTGTTAAGCAAGGCAGAGTTAGCTGGTGAGACAATTTCTGGGCAACTAATGCATTTTGCACTTAACAGCCTCAAGATAGAGGCTGTTTTTATTGCTTTAGTCCATCAAATGAGAAAGTAGGCCTGGAGAGTGTGCGCGTGCACACAGGTACATCTGTGTGTTGCTGTCTTTGTACAGCAAAGAGGGAGGACATATGTGGATAAGGGCATATCCACACCACTGCTGGCCTTACTTGACACAGGGTGGGGAACATGGTCAGTCCCAAAAATGATACAACGCTGCCCTCTAGAAGACAAAGCTGAAAACTCCACTCACTGTCCAGAGATGGAAGTTAGGATAAATGTAAGGGCATTCTTGCTTATGAAATATTTATAACCCTATTTTATAAGTAATCTCATTTAACCTGGTGTTGACACCTCATCAGTTCATGTAAGTCATCTAAACTAACTCTGAATGGCAAAGAGCAGTGCACCCACTTCATTCTCATTTCACTCTTCACTCAGTCACTTCACGTTGAGACAGGAACAGCTACTTTTGGCTGTCAGCTGTTTGGAAGCTCATTTACTATGGGCTAAGGGTTTCAAATCCATAATGTAAATTACTTGATTGACAGAACTTTTCCCCCAATGGCACAATCAATTTTCTATTGTGGAGCTAAATTATTTTCTCTAAGCAAATGAAAGAGCCTCAAGAAGTGAACTGGGTGGGAGCAGGGTGGGTAGGACTGGAAATAGGGACAAGGTAACCAGTGTCATTTCTGCTTTCTCTTTGGCATTTCATGAAGACAAAGGGGTTGATGACCCGGGAGAAGTGACCTGCTTTGCAGGCAGTAACAAAGGCAGCAACTCTGAAGTTCAGTCCCTCAGCTCCTTCCAGTCAGATTCCGGTGACGACAATGGTAAGAAGTCATTAGATTTGTTCCGAGTGGTTGGGAGGAGGGTGGCGCAACTGGCTTTGTTCCTGGGCTTTTGAGTGTGTTCACCAGCTTCCTGGTTTACCCCATTATTGGGTGTCATTGCAAAGGAGCCCCCATTAAGCTGAAGCTGTGAGCAGGCCCAGAACTCTGTATCAGGGGTTGATGAAGTTACCGTGGGCCTCCAGCAGTGAGTCCTCTTTGATTTGGTTCGTGGAACTATTTCATCCCAAATGATATTCTCTAGCAAACCAAGTAATTTTTTTTTAATTTTACCAATGACCTCTTCCCTCTTCACTATATATCCAACCTCCCCCTCATTAGAAATTAGTTCAGAGACAAAAGCCTTCTTATAGAACCAGTGGAATCTTCATTCAGTTGAATCCCCCTTATAATCATTTGGGGCTATGGGCTTTTGTAGAATTTATTCAAAACTATGAGGCAGCTTCTTAGAAAAATGCACATACCCCCAAAATGTTGCATGCAGTTTCTCCTGGTTCTCAGACTTTGTTGACACTCCAAAGCTGCTACCTCTACCTCTCAAACAGCATGGCGACTGTCATGCTGGACTGGGTTTTCTGAGCTGAGCAGCCAGCTTCAGAGGATGGGTTGTTCTTCTCCAGAGCAGAGGAGGGAACAGTCATAAAACTGAGTGTTTTCAGTGTGGTGGTTAACCAAGGATATTTTCAGTCATCCAGAGACAAGCAACCTTATACCTTAGGTCATTTTCCCATTTGTCAGCAACTAGCAACAAATGGATACTTATTAATTTATGTAATCATTCAATCTATAAACCCTTGCTGAATTTTTTCCCACATGCTGAGTCCTTTAACCAGAGTACAAAATGAAAAAGGCATAGCCCTTGCCTCCAAGGTACATGCAGAACCAGGTGAGCTTCAAGACCATAGGAAGCAATCATACAAGTAAAGGAGCCTTTTTTCATCACCACTTTCAAATGCTGGCACTTCTGAAAAGTGCCCAAGCATCAGTGTATCTGTCTGCTGAGACAAATCCTGTAACAGTGAATTTTTTCTAACCATTATCAGAAAGTCAGAGACACACCCCCAGATCTGATTGCCTTGATGTATCCTCTTCTCCTCCCCAGCAAGTAGAAAAGCTATGGCTAGTTTGTACTTTACCTAGAAGCACCTAAGAACAGAGTCCAGACTCCAGGCAGCAACTCCAGCAATGATGCCTGGTTAGCTGTTCTTATGGGCTCTGTGGTGTGCACCCTGAAGATCACATACTTGCCCTTTTATGCTTAACATTCTAAGTTTGTCCCAAATGAGACAGGTGATATTGGGAACTGTCATCAAATTGGTTTTAAGCCTGATCACCTCTCCACAAGTCGCTGTACTGAGCTTTAAGGCAACCCATGTAGACCACAGAGATCTCCTGTATTCTAACTATTTGAGAGGCCAAATGCTGACTTCTGTCCACACCTTACTGGTGGGGGCTAGGCCTTGGGTCACTTTGGGCTGTCAGTGGCATCATGTGACCATGAAACCATCAGTCCTGCAAAGCTTATCCTCCATCACTGGCGTTTGGTTCCGAGCAGCACGACTGACCAACAATTTTTCCCAGGAATAGTGAGGTCTTCCTCTGAGAGCCTTTGGGAGTTGCTAATGAGAAATTAGCATGAGCTTGATGAGCCACTGCCTTCCTAAATTGATTTTACTGGGCCATGAGGAGTGAATTTATGACCCAGCAATCATGACCGATCCCTGCCTTTGAGGAGGACTGGCCTTGGATTTGCTGCCATTTCTCTTCCATTCCGTGAATTTCAGGACCCTCTAGAGAAAGGTGTCCACCCATACATTCCCTCACAGACTGTGAGGAGGCTTTGGGTGTTTGCATGCTGCACCTTCATTGTTGCTGCTGTTGTTGTTAAAATAAGTTAACGTATGTTTAAAAAAACTCAACTAACCTGAAGCTGTCCTTCCCCTCCCTCCCATCTTCTTTTCCGACCACAAGCCTCCATAGTGACTGTCATTCAGCTTGTCAACAATGTAGTTGACACTATAGAGAATGAAGGTATTTACTTTTCTTCTTCCATAGCATTTCTTGAAATTTTGCTTTCTTGTTACTTTGGACTGGGAGTGATTTTAATGGGTAGCACACAGAGCGGGCAGTAAACAGCTCATTTCCAGTGAGATGTGGTGTATTTCTCTATGGATCTGTTTTACAATTTTGAAAAAAGAAAACTAGTTCATGATTTGTAAAAAAAAAAAAGTATATGGGGTACTCTTTATAAAATTTCTTTCAAGACAAGAGTATCCAATTAGTCACAATCCAGATTAATGCTAAATCTGTCTTTATATCCAACATCTGTTCATTGAGCACCTATTATGAGCTGGTAATTTTTAAGTAATCATTCAGAGCTACAAATTATGGATACTTATGTCAATCAGGTAACTTATTAGCAACTTAATAAAATCAAGGCATAAATGTGCTTTATCTGTTTGGTCTTTTTCCTAAATAACAATCAGGAGAAATAACCCATAGGCCTTTAAGGAGCATGTTTTTAAAAGTCATCTCAAATGTTCTGTATTATCCCTCTTCACATGGTTTGAATTGTCAGTTTTACTTTTCACTTTGTATTTAAACAGTGTCTGTCATGGACCAAGGACAGAACTACAACCGAGGTGACTGTGCCACAACCCTAACTTTTTATTTGTGTGTTTTGAATTCCTGAGTTCATTCTTGCCCTATTCCTGTCCCTCTGCCCTGATCTGAACTTTGCATGTCCCAGGTGTCTCATGTGCTCATTATTGGAGGTGAAAACTCCACCAGCATTTCCCCTCCTAGCCTCATCCCCTGTGCGTGTGTTTCACCCATTTGCCTGCACGCCTTCCTGCCTCCTGTGCTCCATAGCACAGCTGATGAACCTCTCTGCAAGCATGCTGCCAGCCTGGCTCTGCAATAGCATGTGGCTAGGAAGAGGGTGTGGGGATAGTGCTCAGGGGTCCTGGAACTGTCTCCTCAGTGTGCCCTCGCTCTTCATCTCATGGCATGACTGAGTGTGAGGCTCTGCAGCCACCAGGCTCTGACAGGCACCACCTGTCAGAGTTGCCATCGTCTTGTTCTCTGCAGGCCAAAGCATGGCTGGCCCCCACAGACCCTTGGAAGAAGCAT